TGGCTTGGAATCAAGTGAGAAGGGGAGAGCTGGCATCCAGGTGGAGGCCCCAGGGAGGGCAAGCTTTCATTTGGGCTTTAGCGGTTTGGGAGGCTTGTTTGTTTAAGCACCTGGGGAAGGGAAGTGCTGGGCAAGTGCTTTGCTTCTAAACAGATTACTGCCCGGCTTTTTAAACGAGGCTCTGACCCAGCCCGAGCCCGGTGCCCTATTCAAATGTGGGAAGAAACATTGTTGTCACCCAAGGCCCTTGCACCCCCCAGACCCATCCTCCAGCAGGCCCTTTTCCAGCCAGTCTCCCAGCTCCTCCCCTGGGGCCTGAGTGTGAGCCCAGGGGCCCGAGGGAGGGAGTTTGGGACATCAGTCATCCCACCCAGACTTTCAGCCTCCCCACCCCCAGGGCGGCTGCTTGTCTGTCTTAGAGAATGTGCTCTAGGCTGGGAGGAGGTAAGCTCCCTGAGTGGAGGGCTAGCCCCCTGCCCTACTCCCCTTCTTTTGAGTTTGGTTTGGTTTCCATCTTATGTCCCCTCACTGTGGCGGGCTCAGAAATCCCCAGCCTTGGCACAGGGCTCTGCCCAGAGTGGGCCCGGCATCAACGTTTGTTAATTACATCCAAGTCTAAGCGGCCATCCATTCCAGGTGTAACTGGTCAGCAGCACTCCAGCTATTTGTGAATGGTCTGGAGGTTGAGAGTTCACCTTCACCTGGGAACTCTGGAATTTGACTATGATATTCCTAGGAGTTTTCCTTTTGGGATCTCTTTCAGGATTGGTGGATTCTTTCAATTTCTATTTTACCATCTGGTTTGAGAATATCAGAGTAGTTTTCCTTAATAATTTCTTGAAAGATGATGTCTAGGCTCTTTTTTTGATCATGGTTTTCAGGTAGTCCACTAATTTTTAAATTATCTCTCCTGGATCTATTTTCCAGGTCATTTGTTTTTCCAGTGAGATATTTCACATTGTCTTCTAATTTTTCATTCTTTTGGTTTTGTTTTACAATGTCTTAATTTCTCATAGAGTCACTAGCTTCCATTTGCTCCATTCTAATTTCTTTTTTCTTTTTTTATAACCAAACCAAAACATTTATTGAGAAAAAAATTGCGAGGGAGTGGGGTGATAGCGGTCGAGTGATACAGGGGAGGAGGCAATGTTCAGGATGGGAGAGTACAGATTGCCCTGGGCTTTCTGGGGAGGTCAGGCTGCTGCTGGATACACACCCCAGCTGGGTGCTTAGATCCCCAAAGATGCCCTTTCTGTAATCCAGTTCCAACTTCAGGTGTATGTGTGTGATGGTTGTATGGTTGTGTGTAAGGAAGTATTTTCTTCAGTGAGCTTTTGGACTTCCTTTCTCATATGGCCAATTATGCTTTTTAAGGCATTCTTCTCCTTATTGGCTTTTTAGACATCTTTTGCCGTTTGGGTTAGACTATTTTTAAGGTGCTATTTTCTTCAGTATTTTTTTAGGTCTCCTTTAGCAAGCTGTTAACTCATTTTTCATTATTTTCTTACATCACTCTCATTTCTCTTCCCAATTTTTCCTCTACTTCACTTACTCGCTTCTCAAAATCCTTTTTGAGCTCTTCCATGGCCTGAGACCAGTACAAATTTTTCTTGGAGGCTTTGGATGTAGGAGCTTTGACTTTGTTGTCTTCTTCTGGTTGTATATGATCTTCTTTGTCACCAAAGTAAGATTCTGTAGTCTGAGTTTTTTCTGCTGTTTGCTCATGTTCTCAGCCAATTATTTGACTTTTTAACTATTTGTTAAGGTAGTGCTCTACTTCCAGTGTGGAGGGTGTCCTGTCCCAAGCTTCAAGGGTTTTGTGCAGCTTTTTTCAGAAATACTTCTAGGGACCTGTAAATTTACAGTTCTTCCAAGGTGTTATGATCAAGGGCGAGGTGTTTACTCCTTTCCTGGCCTGTGCTCTGGTCTGTGAGTGACCACAAGTACTCTTTTTTGGCTTAGAACTGTGAGAAGGATTCCCTCTCCACTGCCACCACAAGCTCTACCACGCCAGTGGTCCTCCCCAACCCAGGACTGCTACCCAGAACTGTGACCCAGATGCAAGCACAGGGAAAGCAAGAGAGTCCTGCCTCAGCACCAGCAAAGAGATCCCTGCAATCTCCCTCTGATCAGCTGCTTGACCCCCCCCTCCGTCTGTGGGCCAAGAGCCCCAGAAGCAGCCACCACCCCAGTACTGGGGCTGGACTGAGCTCCTTTCTCACCGTGGTCCAATAGACCTTTCCTACTAACCTTCTAGTTGTCTTTAGCATTTGTGGGTTGAGAAATCTGGAAACCACCACAGCTTCCGGCAATTCAGTCCCCTGAGGCCAGCTCCAGGTTCTCTGTGCCCCGTCTTTGCCCTAATGGCCCTTGCTGAACTGCGCTCCTCTCCCAGCCCGGCACAACAGACCTTTCCCTTCAAACATCAGGATTGTCTTGGGCTGGAAGTTTGTTTCACTCGGTCTTCTTGTGGATTCTGCTGCTCTAGAATTTGTTTAGAGTAATTTTTTACAGGTATTTGAAGAGGTTTGGGGTAGAGCTCGAGCAAGTCACTGCTTTAACTCTGCCATCTTGACTCCGCCCATCATTCTTGTCTTTTTTTAATGTGTCACTGATGGTTTTTGAGGGTTATGCCCCAAGCCCATTTTTCAATTGTGTGAGTTTGCATAGCCCAGTGATTTTTAAGAATGTGAATGTCATGTTATAGCAGAATCATGATTTTAACATTCTTTAAAGGTTTTTCTTGATATCAAGCCAAAATTTGCCTCTTTGCCACTTCCACCCGTGGGAATTCCTAGCCTCCATGAAATCACAGGACTGGGCCAAAAGAAATGGCGCCCTTGTGGGGTTGGTGTGAGGATCAAAGGACGGCCAGTCTGGTCAATCAAGGGGCCAGGCAGACCTAGACTGCTCCCTCTTCCACTCGATGGCCCTTTAATTACTCAAAGATAATTTTCATATCCTTCTTCCCTAGTTCCTTCACCCAATTCTCATCTGAAACGAGATCAAGGCCCTTCAACGTGGCAGTTGGCCTTTTCTGGATGCTCTTCTAACTATGAGCCTCCTTCTTAAACTTTGGCTCCCAGAGCCAAGCACAGCTCTCCAGGGGAGGTCCGCCTGGGCTGCAGGACAGAGGGACCATCTCCTCCTTTTCCTTGAAGCTCAGCCAAGATCACATGGGTATTTTGAGCAATCTTGTCTCACCGATTGTCTTGTATTGGGTCCAAAGGCCCAGATCTTTTCCAGAAAAGCTGCTGCCTAACCATGCCTTTCTCATCTGGCACATAGGAAGTGGATTTTTTTTTAACCCAAGTGTAAAACTTTGCATTTATCCTGTTGAATTTCATCGTATTGGAATCCACCCAGTGCTCTAGCCTGTGGAATTCTTTGTGGATCTCTGTCGTCCACTGTGTTAAGTCTGCCGTCCCCCACCCCAGCTTTGTGTCATCTGCAAACTTCATCTGGTCTCTTCTCAGCCGGCATTGAGCTATGAACAATCACTCTCTGAGACCGGTCATCATCTAATCGTTCTCTCATCCACTCCACACAGAGCCATCTTCCTTAAAAGAGGAGTATGAGGGACCTTGAGTCAAGGCTTTGCTAGCATTTAGGTAATTTATACACACACGTTCCTTTGGTCTCGGGGCTTAGCAACCCTGTCAAAAAAGGGAATGAAATTAATTCAGCCTAAGGCTAAGCTGTCCTGGAAAAAGCTCAGCTGGCTCTTCATGATCAGCCCTTCCTTTTCTAGGTTCTCTCCAACCCTCTCCTTAATGATCTGACTGATTCTAGAATGTTCCCAGGAGCAGAAGTCAAGGTCACTGGCCTCTACTTTGCCTTTTTGAAAATCGACCTGATAATTGACGTAGGGAATAAAAAAACACCTACTGTGTGTTCACTTTGTGCCGAGACGCAGGTGGTGGAAGGAAGAGAGTTGGCCTTAAAGTGAAGACCTGGATTCAAGTCCTGCTGGGTGTGTGACCTTAGGGAAGTCACCCAACCTCTCTGTGTCCCGGGCAACTTTCTAAGACTACGTGTTATAGAGACGGGGCCAACCTGAGTTGGTGGAGGCACCTGAGAAAGGGAACAGCAAAATTACCAGGAAATTGTCCCTGCCAATAAATCCCAAGCAAGACAGTCTTTGCCCTCTGGGAGCTTACATTCTGCTCTAATAGGGGAAGACAGGGGGAGGGGGAAGGGGCTCTAGGTATGCCAGAGTTCTAGAGTTTGGCTTGACCCCGACCCAGGAAGAGCTCTTAGCCCTTCTGCTGATGAAGGGGGTACCAATAATGGCAGCTTCATGGCTTCAAAGAGCAGTCACAATCACTAGGCTGCCTCTGAAGCTCGGGGCTTTCAAAGCACTTTGCAGACCCAGCCGGACCCGGCCTTGTGGGCAGCTCGCCACAAACCCTCCAAGTTTTGAACCTGCTGTCACCCCCATTTTTGAGGAAACCGAAGCTGGGTGATGTTAGGGGCTTAGCTGGCAGTCGGTCACGCAGGCGGTAGGTGCTGGAGGCGGGATTGTAGATGTGGTCTCCCTGACTCCAGGTCCTTTTCTTTTTCTGTGCTCACACAGCAGATTCCAGTGGCTTCCCCCGGGGATCATCTCTAATCTCTCCTGTCTATGACTTTTACTGTATAAACTGCTTCCAGGGAATCTCTCGCGACTTGTGCAAACTGGCGCTAGCCCGTTAAACTAATCCCTTTCATGGGATCGTAGACTTAGAGCTGTAAGGGCCTTCGAGGCTGTTGTGGTCGGATATTACAGGTGAGGAAACTGAGACCCAGCACAGGGAAGGGATTTCCCCAAGATCCCACTGGGAGTAAACGAAAGAGGCGGGCTGCTGAGAACATGTTACTTCCAGACTGCCTTCCCGTGCAGTAGAAAGGGAGCTCCCTGAGGGCAGGGCTTCTTCATTTCTGTCTGTGCACTCCTGCTGCTTTACATACAACAGGAGCCTACAGTGCTCGCTGTGCTGACTGACTGAACCTCCTCGTAGGTGCCGAGGAGGTCCTGCTGCTCGCCCGGCGGACGGATTTGCGCCGGATCTCCCTGGACATGCCGGACTTCACGGACATCATTCTGCACATCGACGACATCAGGCACGCCATCGCCATTGACTATGACCCTGTGGAGCGCTATGTCTACTGGACGGACGATGACGTGAGGGCCATCCGCCGCGCCTACCTGGACGGCTCTGGGGCCCAGACCTTGGTCAACACGGAGATCACCGACCCGGATGGCATTGCCGTGGACTGGGTGGCCAGGAATCTCTACTGGACCGACACGGGCACAGATCGCATCGAGGTGACGCGGCTGAATGGGACCTCCAGGAAGATTCTTATCTCTGAGAACTTGGATGAGCCTCGGGCCATCGTTCTGAACCCAGTGATGGGGTGAGTCGGGGCTCCGTGCTTGGAGGGGGTGGGGGCCCGGAAGCGGGGCTCCGCGGGGCCAGGAAAGGGGCTCGGTGGCGCAACAAGCCGCTGCCCTAGCGCTGCGAGGTGGGACTGAAATTTACCACCCCCTGGGAGGCGATGTCATCCCCGCTGTACGGGTGGGGAAACCGAGGCTCCAAGGAGGGAAGCGACTTCTCCATACTCTTGGAGTTTGTGTTCCAAACAGGATTTGAACCCAGGCCTCTCCTGACTGCAAGTGCAGCGCTTTCCCCAAGATACCAGGCTGACTTCCTGTTGCAATACACAGCTTAGCACCACTCAGTTCTTCTAACACTAATACTCCTGGTGGCTGTGGGTTCCTAGATTGAGAGCTCGATGGGACCTTGGGGGCCATTTAGCCACTTTATAGATGGGGAAACTGAGGCTCGAGGAGTTGAAGTGACTTGCCCAAGGTTACGTAGAGTTAGAGGCCATGGAGTCTTACTCCTCCCCTCCCCCATTTTACAGAGGAGGAAACTGAGGCCCCTCAAGGTGAAGGATGCACAGGCAGTCAGGCTGTCGTCCATGTCAGAGCCAGGTTCCCTGGTTCTGGCTTCTTAGGACTTTCCACTGCCCCACGCTGCCTCCCCCTCCCCAGGGCCTCTTTCCACCATGCTCTGAGGGGAGGCCAGGGCACACCTCTGTTTGCTCCTCATGAGGGAAGGCATTGCCGAGCCCTGGCTGTGGAGGGCAAGCACAGCAGTTAAATGGCTGGAGCGACATAGTAGGGAGGGAAGATGGAGGCTGGAGGCCGGATACAAACATGGCCAAAGCTTCCTGTCGAGTGAAAGCAGGGCTGCCTCTCACAGCATGCAGCCCCTCGGCGCTGGGCAGACCTCAGAGAGAAGCTTGGCTACCATGCAGGGCTGGGGAGCTCATCCCCTCACCAGGCTTAGCCTCCAGAACTATTGCTGTCCCTGTCCCAGTCTGCTCAGAGCAGGGCGTGGCTCATTTTCAGTGGCAAAGCAGCGATTTGTGGTTGGGACCTGGGTATGAGTCTTAGCTTTGACCACTTACTAGCTGTACGTGACCTTGGGTGGATCACCTCTGTAAACTCAGTCTTCTCACTTTTTTTTTTTTTTTTTTTTTGGTTAGGCAATGGGGTAAAGTGACTTGCCCAGAGTCACACAGCTAGTGAGTGTTATGTGTCTGAGGCCAGATTTGAACTCAGGTCTTCCTGACTCCAGGGTGGGTTCTCTATCCACTGCGCCACCTAGCTGCCCCCTTCTCACTTTTAAAATGAGAATAATTCTTACCTCACAGCTGGTGTTGGGAAGAAAGTGCTTCATAAAGCTTTGGGTACAGTGGCAAGAGCCAGGCTCTGGAGCCTGGGACAAGGTTCAAATCCTGCCTTAGATACTCACCAGCTGTGTGGCCTTGGGCAAGTTGGTTTATTTCCCTGAGCATCAGTTTCCTTCTCTGTAAAACGAAGAGTTGTTCTTCCTATCCTGCACGGTCCCCTTGGACTTTCCGTCTAGGTCCTGGGTTCCTCCAGCAGCAGCATAGTGCAGTGGGTAGAACGGTGGAGTTGGTGTCAAGAGCCTCACCTCTGATGCACACTCACTGTGTGATGATGGTTAGTCCCCTCACCTCTCTGAGCCTCAGTTTTCTTGTCTGTAAAATGGGGACAACAAAACCTGTAGCACCCATCTCAAGGAGTTGTTGCCAGGCTTAAACGGAGTGGGTTTTGCTGAGTTGATGGAAATGTGTGTTGTGGGGTTCTTTTTCAGCTACATGTATTGGACAGACTGGGGTGAAAACCCCAAAATCGAATGCGCCCATCTGGATGGACAGGCCAGAAGAGTCCTGGTGAACACGTCTCTTGGGTGGCCCAATGGCCTGGCGCTGGACCTGCAGGAGGGCAAGCTTTACTGGGGAGACGCCAAGACAGACAAGATTGAGGTGAGTCACTCCTCGAGTGTCGGGTAGAGAGGGAGCTGGGTCAGTGAATCAGCTGTCGTTTGGTAAAACTCAAGTTTATTTATTTTCGGTCATGATTTCTCTCACTTTTCTCTCACTCACTGAGAAACAAGAAAAGCAGAACCTGTTACAAATATGTATGGTCAAGCAAAACGAATTCCCACATTAGCCCTGCCTGTCCACACACACACAAACACACACACACATCATACATACACCACAGATACACACAGACACACACATATGGACACAGACACACACACATACATACACACATATATGCATACACATACATACACACATACATACCACACACACACATACACAGACCCCACACGTATACACATATACCTATGTGTGTGTGTTTTTTTTTTTCTTACGGGGGCAGCTTGTTTCATCATGAGTCTCTTGGAATTGTTGGGTTGATCAGAGTAGCTCTGTCTTTCACGGTTGATGATTGTTACAATGTTGCTGTTACTGTGTACAATGTTCTCCTGGTTCTGCTCACTTCACTTTGCATCAGTTCATATAAGTCTTCCCAGGTTTTTCTGAAGCCATTCCTTTCATCATTTCATATAGTGTCTTAGTATTCCATCACAATCATTCATTCAGCCATTCCCCAATTGATGGGCATCACCTCAGTTTCCAGTTTTTTGCCTCCATGAAAAGAGCTTCTATAAAAATCTTTCTACAAATGGGTCCTTTTCCTCTTTCTTTGATCTTTTTGGAAGTGTAGCCATAGTAGGTGTACTGCTGAGTCAATGGTTATACACGATTTAATAGCTCTTCAAGCATGGTTTTAGATTGTTCTGCAGAATGGTTACAACAGTTCACAGCTCCGGCAGCAGTGCGTTAGTGTACCTGGTTTCCCACATCCTCTCCAACATTTGTCATTTTCCCTTTTTGTCAACTTTGCCAACCTGATGGATTAGAAAGAACTTCTGTGTTGTTTTAATGTTCATTTCTCCAATTATTAATGATGTAAAACATTTTTCTATGGCTATTGGTAGCTTGGATTTTTCCATCTGAAGACTTCCAGTTCCTGTCCTTTGGCCAACTGGGGCATAGCTCTTACTTTGATTAAATATGACTCAGTTCCGTATATATGTGTGTGTATGTATGTGTGTGTCTGTGTGTATACATGTATATGTCTATGTGTGTGTATGTGTGTATGTATACAAAGATATCTCTTAGAAATAAGGCCTTTATCAGTGAAATTTGTCAAGCAGTCCTTGTTTACATAATACCCACTGCTAATACTTATGGCGCAGCTGGGTCATGCAGTAGATAGAGCACTGGGTCTGGAGTCAGGAAGACCTGAGTTCAAATCCAGCCTTAGACCTTTATAGCTGTGTGATCCTGGGCAAGTCACTTTACCTCTGTCTGCCTTAATGCCCTTATCTGTAAAATGGGGATAATAGTAGCACCTACCTCTCATGGTTCTTATGAAGATCAAATGAGATAATAATTGTAGAGTATACAGTAAGCTCTATGTGAATGTTAGCTATTTCTCTGTATTACTTTTATTGTTCTCGTACAGCAGCCACATGACTTTGGACAGTCCTGGGCTCAGTTCAACGTCCTTGTTTTTGCTTTAACGCCTCTCTCTACCTAGAAGTAGCCATTGATTGGGTCAATCGACAAGCATTCATTAAGCACTTACTATGTGTCAGGCGCTGTCTTCGGTGCTGAAAACACAGAGACAAAGGTGGGGTAATCTCTGCCCTCCAGGAGTTCTGGTTTTGTTGCGGGGAGGGGACAAGTGGTGAGTGTGGTGGGAGGAGGGCTGGGGTGGCACCGCCGGCTGAGGGCCCCCGGGAAAGATGCGAGAGGGTGGAGTGAAGAGGAAATCTGGGGCCAATCAGTTTTCATGATGCCTTTATTATTATTATTATTATTAATTATATTATTATTAATAATAATACTCATTAACGTGGCAAGGCCCAGTGCCTCAGCATCAGAGTACAATCCTCTCTGACAGGGAAATGCGATCACCTCACTTATCTGATGGTCAGTCATTGCTGAGCAGCCTCCACCTTCCGTGTGATGTCCCCTGCTCTTCTTGGACCCTGCCCCAGTTGGTCTCTGACACGATCTGCTCTTGTGGCACACGGGCATGTGTCATCACTGTGAGCTGATGGAGGGTTGGGTGGGTGCTGGAAGCTTGACCTTTGATCCCTTGGAGTCCAGTGCTCCTTTGGGATCATTTCAGGAAAGGTGGGACAACAAGCACATGTAGAGGGAGGGCAGATCTTCTCTGGTTTCTCCCTTGTATTGGTCTGAAAGGTGCCGCTGTCCATTCTCGGCAGAAGTCATCCTAACGGCTCAAATGTATACCTTACAGTGTGCTCCATCACAGTCATAATGGTTCCCCTTTGGAGTTTACAAAGGATTTTGCTCAAAACCACCTCGTGTGGGAGAGACCGAGTGTAATGGCCGTTCAGCCCCCTACCCCAGCTTCCTGCCTCCAGCCGACAGTGCTGTCTCCCTCCTCCCACGTGCCCTGGGCGTTTCCTCTGCAAGAATCATGCGCTCATGTCCTCGTCCGTATTATACTTATTTATGTGAGTGTTTCCCAAGCCCTCCATTCCAGGTCCTCACACTTAGAGGTAGGAGGGTACTGGGACACCATCTTGTTTGGCCTCTTCCCTTTCCAGATGAGGAAGTTGAGGCCCAAAGAAAGCACATGATTTGGTCAAGGTCCGGCCGGCTAGGCTTTAAAGTCCTGGCTGGTGACGACGACAACGTGGGACTCTGTGTGGCGACCGTGGAAGGGCTGCCCCTCTGGAGCCAGAGGAGAGAGAAGTGGTCCCTGGGGCTTTGTCCCCCGAGGAAGCCCACAGTGTCCCCCCTCTGAATTCCTTTAGTCTGAGACAGAGAGGGAGAAAATCGAGGCACTTCATTACAGACAGGAGCAGATGGCCAGGCCAGATGAAAATGTCTTCTGTTGATTCTTCAGCTAAGACCAGGTCAGCAGGAAATCCTCGGTCGCCAATGGATCCCAAAGGGAAGGGAGAAGAGGATCCCTCGCGGGGCTCCAGAAAAGCACTGCAGAGAACATTAGCGCAGGTGCATGCACAGGACTCTGGAGCCTGAAGGACCAATCCCACCTGCCTTCATCCATCAGGTCCCCTCTCCTCTCCCTCCTCTGCTGCCTTTGGGTTTAGTTCCTTCGAGAGAAGAAGGAAGGGCTCCCCTGAGAGAGGGGGTGCCGGAGTCTGCTGCAGTCAGCACCCACCACGTGCTGGAGACACCCAAACAAAGGCCCCCCCTGAGGTTCTCTTCAGATTTGGTGCTTCTGATCTTCAAGGGACGGCTGCGGGCTGGTGGCGCTCCACGGGCCGAGCTCTGCGCCGCTGCACTGTCCCAGCCCGGGGCAGCCCCAGTTGTCCGAGAGTTGGCAGTGAGTGAGTCACCAGTGTCCTGGGTCGGCAACTTGAGACGTTTTCTTCCCAGAGAAGCACATCTGTTGTGATAATTACCATTCCTCAGCCCGTCTTAGAAACTGTCAAAATCCCAAGGGCTGCTAATTTGGCCCCTTTTTTGGTGAACGTGAAAAGGAGCTGCCTCCTGGAATGAAGCCAACAGAAAGAAGGCTTTCGGGGGAAATTATCCCCTCCACCCCCAAGGATGTTTGCTCCAAGTGAGAATCATTCATGAACCGGGCAGATGAGCCAGGACGGTCTGGCTCTGGGGCCAGGAATGTGCCTCTGAAAGCCGAGAACATTTCCTTTAAAGGAGAAAGCAGCACGGGGCCCACCTTCCCATTCAAGGTGCTCAGCAGAGATTGCCCCAAGCCTTGCCAAATCCTGACATGTTTGGGGTTTCTTTGTACAGTCACCCTTCCCAAGGGGACTTCTCTGTGGGGCACTGGGCTCCTCTTCTGCTCTGATTTACAGTCACTGAGGTAATGAGAGGCTCGGGCCAAAGACCACATGGGAGGCCAGGTCTGTGGCCTTTTACTTCCCCGGTCTGATTTGGGGTACAGTTCCTCAGGGACAAAACCGGGGAAGCAGTGAGAGGCCTTTTATGCCCGTAGACACAAGAGAAGAAACAAACTTTAGAGAAACAAACTTTACACGTATAGAGGCAGACACATATGGGATGGGATACCTAATTAACTTAGAGCTATGTCAGTTGGGACAATGGAAGACTTCTTTTTAGAAACTCCTCCTCCTAGAATCCCGAGCTTCCTTCAAACACAGGCCCTTCCTGAGCCCCACTCCCCAGCTGTTCAAACTATCTTCCACCAAAACAATTCCTGTGCAGTGTGTGTGTGTGTGTGTGTCTCTCTCTCTCTCTCCCCCTCCTTCCCTCCCTTCCTCCTTCCCCTTATGCCTTTACACATTGTTTCCCCCAGTAGAATATAAGCTCTTTGAGGGCAAGAACCCCTCAGGTTTTGTCTTTGAAGCCTCAGTACTTATAGTAATGCTCAGGGCATATAGTAGGTGTTTAAGTCCCTTCTGTTTAATTGATTGAATTTTGGATCAGAGGCATCCCACTCAGAACCCAAAAAATCCTGCAGAATCGAAGCAGCTGCAGGGGAGGAAGAAATTAGGTCCTTTGGGTCTCTGTGAGCATGGTGCTTCTCACAGGGCAAAAATAAATAAATGCTTGCTGGTTGGTCAAGTTGATTCTTATTAACCCTTATCCACAGAGGCTTCTGTACATTCTTTGAGTGGCTTTCCCTGCCTGGTTTTCTTTCTACCTTAGGCCAGTGTTGTCTGTGTTGAGAGAACTTGCTATGACCACTGGCAGGCTGGTTCCCAGTGCCTCCCACAAGTTAAGAAAGTCTCTGACTTAGAATCAATTTGTGCTCACTAATTTAGGGTCACTAGGGTCCCAAGGATTTTATGACTTGCATGTTGAAAGTGACCTAGAACTTGAGCACCCCAAGGCTATTTTAATTTGTTCTAGAGCCTAAGATGGAAAGAACGGTGGATTCAGTGTTTGGGTACCTAGCTTTTGAATACTTTGTGACTGACAATCCGTGTGACATTGAAGAAGTTACTTTTCATCTCTGCGCCTTGTTCTTCTCTCCAGTATAATGATGGGGCTGTTAGATAATGTCTCAAGTTCCCTACAGCCCTGTCTCTGTGAGTTCATGCCTCATTAATGACCTATTCAGAAGCACCGTCTGTCCTTGTTTTTATCTGGTGTCCATTTGTCGAGTGGTCTCAATCGAGGTCTATGCCTCTGTAATGATGTTGGCAGGCTGGCGCCATTTTTCCTAGACCTCCCTGCAGCTCTGCTAATGGCAGGACTGGCTGTCAAGGGGAGAAGATGGGTTAGAACAGCTGTGCGGTCAGCCCAGCCAGGAGAGTGTCCAGTCACTGGAGGAGTGGGGGGCAGGGAGAGAGGCTTTATTTCTGTTCCAGAGCAGCCAGAATTGCCTTTTAATAAAACTAGCCTAAGGGGATCTTCCTTAATATATTGGGTTCAGTTTGGAGAAATCACTTAGTTATCTGCCCAGTAAGTACAAGGAGGGTCCTGGGGAGGAGATGATGACAGACACCTCCCCCACCCAGGCAGAGGAGTGGGGGCGGGGGACAATGAGAGCAAAACAAACACATGGTCACATCCAGTCTTGCTTCTGTGGAGCTTGATTTAACTCCTGCGAAGTTTTGATTTGTAACAAGAATCCAGACTGGCTAGGGATGATGGGAAAGATTGTTAGGTCAAGATAAAAGGTACCAGCTGTCCAAGAAAAAAAATTAATTTTAATACTGTACTCTATACTTAGGCATTAGTCGGCCAGAAGCAGTTTTATTTAATTTGTTATTCATCTATAGCCAGGCAATTTGGGGGCGGGGGAAGGAGGGAGGAAGAGAAGGGAAGGGAAGGGGATCTAAACTGGCATAAACCCCCCTCTCCTCATGCCCTCCCACATGAATCTCTGCCCCAGGACATTTTAAACAAGTCATATAGCACCTACTGTGTGCCAGGCACTGTGCCAAGTGCTTTACAGACACAAGATAGCTTGGAGTTGATCACAGAGGGGAGACACTGACTTTAAGGAAAGGATTCTTACAGAAGGTGGGACTTTAGCCGGGGCTCGAAGGAGGCCAAAATGAGGAGGGAGAGACCCCCAGGGCTGAGGGACAGCCAGAGAAAACAGCCAGAGTCAGAGGCTGAGCCCGGGGACCAGTGTCACTAGGTGGCAGGTACAGGGAGGGCATGAAGTGGAAGAAGGTGGAAAGGTCAGAAGGGGCTAGGTGAGGAAGGGCTTTCAGAGCCAAAGAAGATGAAAGAGATCTTGAAATGAGCAGCCACATTGCTCTCCCATCTGTCCAGGGCGCTCCCCTCACTGACCAAAGGGACCTCTTCCCTTTCATTGACCTCTCAGTCCCTTCTCAGGGAGAAGGGCCAGCGCTGGCTGGCCAGTCCCTTCCAACGGGCATGTCAGGAGGAGCTTGTCCTTGGATGGGGTGATAACCAAGTCTATGATTGGGAAGCCGGATAACAATCCAGCTTGGTTATCACCATGAATTCGCTTCCCTAAGAACCTCTGTGAAAACCAGGAAGCCCGGGGTCCGAGGCTCCCCTCGGACACATGCTGACCCTGTGGCCTTAGACCAGTCATTTAATGTCTCTGGGCAACTTTATAAGATTATAAATTGCAGAGAATGTGTAGGGACTTGCCTCACTTGGGGGGACCCTATCCCAACCTCTTAAATAAGAGACTTAGAGACATTTGTAAACCGAGTCAGAACTTCAGTGAAGGGAAATTTTACCTCTGGACTTAGAAACTGGGAGTCGCCAGTGTCGCCAGGACCTCGATGGGAGGAGTGAGTGGACAGAACCTGAGAGAGGCAGTCAGGAGGGTCTGGGTTCTAATCCCACCTCTGACACTCAACAGCTCAGTAACCCTGGGCAAGTCATGACATTGGCCTCGTCTTCATCATCTGTAGAGTGGGGATGGTGATATTTGCCTCCCTTTCTCCTCAGTTTCTTTAAGGAAAATGTCTTGCAAATCTGAAATTGTTATGGAGATATCGATTGTGGTTTATTTGAGGAGGGGTTAGGGGGAGCATTGTTTTCCCTGAAAAGCAGTTACCAGTAGCAGTTAGCGGTAATAACACAATTGCTAGCTGTCCTTCAGTTCCATTGTGGCTTCTGTGGGATAACCTGGGAACCTAACTGCCATCTGTAATAGATGTGTCTCACACACCGATAGACTTGAACCAGATTCAAATGTAATTGGGAAATATTTCACAAAATAAATAAAAATGCACCAGAACATGGGGAATGTTTGTAGGTAGTTTTCTAAGTCATTCGGGATCCCAGTTTACAGGTTTAGTGGCCCTTGTTTCTTTGACATCACTGACTTATAATTGTTAGGAGAAAGCGTGTTCTGGGGTTCAGGCCACTGCCTTAGAAATGAAGCCCATGTGGTGTAGGGGAGGGGCTGGTGGGATCTGCCTCTGGGCCTCCCAGGGGACTCCATTGGCGAGCTAGAGCCTGGCGATGATGGTGCCTTGAGACGTCTCTTCACTCTGATGGGGGATCTGCCTCTATCTGGACACCAGCCAGCCTAAGATTACCAAGACTGTTAGCTTGGAAACGGAATGTATCCCAAAGCTATTGATTTTCTCATGGTGGCGGGAGATTTTGCTATGCTTATAGTTGATCATGGATTTCAAGCTGGGCTCAACCAGGCCGTTGCATCATGGAATCATAGAATCTAGGGCTAGAATGGATGACCTTAGAGGACATATTGGTTAACGCATCCATTTTACAGATGGACAAAGCTGAGGCCATGAGGAGGTGAACTCTCCCTGGGTCCCAGAGGTTGGAAGTGGCAAAGATTCAAACCCAGGTCCTCAGGCTCCAATTCCTGTAACTTTTCCATCATAA